AGAGAGAGAGAGAGAGAGAGAGAGAGAGAGAGAGAGAGAGAGAGAGAGAGAGGGGAGTATTTTTCATATTTATGAAAATAATTTTATTACGTATGGTATACCTTTAGTGTGTAATGTCCTGGCTCAAGCTCGGAAATGTCCACCCACTGGCAGTCGATGTTGTATTTGTAAATGTCACTGCAATTAACGGAGATACCTTGGTCCCCGTAATTGTCGCAATCGTATCTGAAACGGGTAGTATTTTCAAATTGCGGGAATCACGATTAATAAGCTCGTCGGTGCTAAACGCGAAAAATAGGCGGTCACGAGATCGTTTACGTCAATGCGAGAGAGACGATGATTAAATTAATGAATATCCGTTGAATGCGCGCAAATCGCGCGTAACGCGCCACAAGGTGACATTGTGAAACTGCGTCGATGTCGCGTCGTTATGGAGATTTTTACCTGGGCTCGACACCGGGCATACACTGATTATCCTCGAGGCAGAAGGACGCTTTGTGGCCTTCTGCGACTTTATTGCCGCTCGAATCAATCACGTCGAAAGTCGCGAACACCTCCATCGAGTGATAATGCCTGCGAGAGGAGAAATTTTGGACATTCATCCGACTGTTCTTGTTATGTTGACATAAACAGAATATTATTTGCGAATAACACGTTTAATAATAGAATATTGAGTTAAGAGAGTTTCTATGCGAGGTTCATGTTTTAATGATAGGTTTATGTTACACTTAGTTCTATGATAAGTTTACATACGGAAACATGTAATATATCCGTAGGGGAATCCTCTTGTATATGGCCTCAAGAGAATCCTTTTAAAACCAAAAGAAAAATATTCCATGCATAATGTTTTTAAAGTTAGAAGAAGTTCGTCCTTTATCTACAGTATAAGTTTTGCATGTCGTCTCTTTCGTATTGTGCATAAGAGGGCATTCTGCTTCAAGTAAACATATTCCTTTTGATTCGAAAGGAAGAAAATCAAAATATAGAGTGTTTAAAAAGAAATATTAACACTTATATGAAGATACAAGGTTACTTTCATATATATGTGGTCTCGCACATATAATTATATATTATATATTTTGCTGAGAAAAGATTATCTTATATTTTCGCACTTTATTGAAAGAGGAATATTCTTTCGGCAAAAGTTCTCTCTTAGAATGTGAGATTGTAAGAAATCTTACAATTAAGATATTTTCTTGTAAAAATATTTTCTTTTTGAGTGTTCATCATCAGTCTCAACTTTAATAATACGATCACAGAAAGTTTTTCTTGTTCGAGTCATTATAGAAATCGATCTTTCTTGGTATAAATTGATAACGGAAATCGTGTATCCCCCCAAGTGTTAAGGAGTAACATTTCTTCTCAAGCATCTCTCCTTAGAAATTCAATCTGCAATCTCGCTTTAATAAAATTATTCCCTAATCTGATTAACAACTTAACTTGTCGAAGCAATAAAAGTCTAAAAATCTGATATAGAAAATTAAAAAAAAGGTGAATCTATTTAAGGCAATAAAGCTCTTGTAGAACTTTTTTTCTTTATTGATTGAATATCAATAGAGCCTTGTCCTTCTAATTTTTCTTTTAGTTTTAAAAGAATTCTCTTGAAGTCATGTATAAGAGGATTCCGCTAAGAATAAGATTATATCTTTTTTAATGTAAACTTATCATTAAAACATAATATTCTATGTATTTTAAGATTCTATCTCAGATAGCAAATATCTATAATAGAGGTATCTCAAAGAAAGCAAGTAGGATATCTTTCAAATGTCTTTAAAGTACCATTTAGACATTTATGTAGACTGTATGTATTTATTAAGCGTATTATTTAATTAATTAAAAGGTATTATACAGGGTGCTTAAAAAAAAAGTTAATACTTATATGAAGGAAAACTTCCATATATATGAACACATACATTATATATTTAATTCATTTAAATAAGAGAACTTATATAGAATTAAATATGTTATTAATACTCATCACAGGAATATATTTTTTATTGTTTAGATATTTTTCTTCTCAGTATATGACGAACAGATAATTTTTTTTCAGTAAAATAATATATAATCATATATATGAG